CGCTGTTTTAAATCCTCATACAGATCGCCCGCTCATATTGTATATATTACATAAAGGTCGGACATGAATATTTTATATTGCTTATCAAATTCCAGCATAAGTTAAAGCATATTTCGAAAAAAAATCAGGATAAAATATCATTTGTAAGAGAAAATCGAAAGAAATCTGTATACCTGTTCCAAATCAACAAAGATTTCCAGGAACTTTCCACCAAGCAAATACCCTAAAGCAGGTCCAATYGTCGCTATTGCATACATAGTACCCAAAAATACTCCAGAAGTAGTATGTTTAACATTTTCATCAATATACGATGGCCCTAGAATATAAACYGGCGTAGCACCCACACCAATAAAGAATTCAGCAATTACAAATGTTATAATGATATACCATGATGAGCTATGACAGGTTGGAGGTTGCGGTGATAAAGTGCTTGTAGCATTAGCAATACAGAGGTCYTTTTCATTGCCACTTGGAATATATTTACCGACTAATACATGCGGCAAAGCAAACAGAAAGCATCCAATGCTTAAAATTACTGCCCCCCAGCCCAGCCATTTGGGTTTGTGGTAATGACCATAGTAACTGACAATGATTGCCATTAATGCTGCTGCAATGTCATAGCAACTAGAAATTGCACCAACTTGACTCGTCTTCAAAAAAAATCGTTTCTCTAAGGACGATATTACTACACCAGTTAAACCTGATACAATCATTCCTTGTGCTAGGACAAACCAGCACTGAAAAACGAGGAACCATCCGGGTCGCGCGAAACGTTGAAGAACTTTGCTTCGCCATGTCAAAAGTCCACATGTGAATTCACTCTCCTGCAAGTCGCTATCTTCCGGTATACGTGCTTCACGAAGCTCGTGGTTGATAGAATTATCCTTTGCTAATTCTTTGGATTTGTGACGAAGATCTGTCATTGTAGGCTAATTATGAAAATGATCCCTTCGCTACGAAATTCTTGAGTTGCCTAAGCTCGCATGTCCCTTTCAGAGGTCAATTTTATGAATTTATGCTCCTGTGAAAACACTAAATAAATAAGAAACCTAAGTGAGACAGAAAAACACATAAGGAGTTATCATTGACAACAATATCGATTTCTATCGAGCTTTAAAAAAACAAGTTACAAAAATACAGGCTTTGAGSCACAACCAAGAACAACAAATCCCAAACTTAATCCAAGTTCAGCTAAAGCAATTTCCACTTACCCAAAAGCTTTTTACTACGTAATAAAGATATCAACGCATTTGACATTAACGTAAAATGTGAAGTTTTTGTCTTGTCGGTTGAATAATCGTCTTGATATTACTATTTTATGACGCTAGTTATCACCAAAGACTCAAGACGTAGTTAGACGTAATAGATGCAATGCAAAGAATCCAATCACGGTTAAGTTTGTACAATGTTAGCGGCTTCATGGACACAGTTCTCCTAGGACAATCAAAAGACTGTACAAGTGATCACTTGAGTATGAAAGAAAGAACGATAATGAGAGTTTGTCATGCATAAAACATAAATCAAACTTCAGTGAATCGACGTATTTATTTTGTAGAGTTGAGTTCTTGGTGATGACGTAGATGATGAAAGCGCATGTCATTGTGAAATTCGCGCGAAAATTGATATTCACCAGTTGCGCAATTTTTCATTGGGCATTTTTTTTAAAAAGTAATGGATTTATTCTTGGATAGCAAAAAATTATCTTTGCGGTTCGTTTTACATACTAATCGCCTGTTGTTAGCCTTTGTATACGCTCGATTGGTTGTTTTGTGAAGATTGTTGACGTACCCCAATTGTCACTTTGACATCTAGTAATCTGTCATCAAAATTTTTGCAGCGTCACGCAATGAATCTGAATCAAATCATCTTTCTTGCAGGTCGGACCAGACCTGAGGTCGGACGTTGTATTCCAGACGATGAGGAAGAAACGCAATTCCGTTCAAGACGAATTTTCCGTCGTATTTTCCCGAATTATAGAGACAATTCATACATGGAAGTCCAAGAGGATTAATTAAAAAATGATTTCTGTTTCCCTTTTAACCTTATTATCTTTTCTGCTTTCATTTTGTTTATAAACAAAGGTAATTTGCATATAACATGTAACTCAAGCCAGGAATCAAGCTAGGAAATGTCAGGCAAACACAGCTGCACGTTTGACCCACGTGCCTTACAAGAAAGACTGAAATATTCCTGACAAAAAGCTCTTTATGTCAACAAAAGAAACTTCTAACAGACAAACATTGATATCTTGCTTTTTATCAATTTGAAAAGAAAAGGGGGAGGAGAAACATGTCCCATGATTCCTATTGGCCTTTGTTGTGGTGTTCTTGCGCGGAGTGCATTTCTTGCGCCATCGAACTCTCGAGGTCAGAGGGCTGAACAAAGTGCTGTCAGATCAAGCCCGTTTTTCACTCATTCTTTTTCAAAAGGTTAGTAATCAGAAAGATAATTCATAAAATAATCCCTACAAATAATTTGACATCCTTTCTAAGGCCCGAAAATAGTATAAGCACTTTGCATATTTCTCTGTTGTTTCCCATGTGGTGCATGCTCCGCCATTTTGCATTGACAATTTGCACAAACGTGCGGCAAAATTAAGTGTAAGATCCAACAACGTGGATGATTTTAACTCTTCATCGCTATGTAGTCGCAGTACTGTTTGATCTACTTTGTAATATGTAGACAGATGCAGTGGATTCAGCAAAATCTTCAAAAAGCAATATTATTCGAAAAAGCGCGCCAAAAGTCACTGTGACATTCAAGAACGATAAATCAATATTTGTCCATGAAGTGAGTTGAAGCATGATAATTGAATGAAATATGTGTTTTGTTATATGAAAATGATAATTTTAACACTGTATTCAGTCGTGAATAACTATATTACCACGTTGGACAAACTAAGCTCGGTCGAGTGTATATTATTATGGTTAAAATTAATCAGTCAGGTTTATAAAATGCCGCAGCTCCGAAATCATCAAAATACTGTAGATGCACTTCAGTGATAATAGCCATTTTTAAATATTAAAGCTGAATGTGAATGTAATTTGGTCGAAGTCAAGAACATGCAACTACAGGTCCCTTGAACCATAGTTTAGCTTAACTATAGAGAGAGGCTATGCTTGAACGTATTAAGGCTTGACCTTGGCAGGCACGTTTTCAGTGATTGCTGTGAGGCTTCCGATCTTTTTTTTGTTTACACCTTTTCTCTCCCATACTTTCATTATACTATAGGTAAGTATGAAAAACTTCTCATGATCTGTATTCTCATCGCCACTGTCGCCTCCTTGCTTCAACTCAAGCTCCACTCACCCTAATATGTAAACCCTATCTCCTATTTATACAACTTTTCAGTAAAATCAGACGTTTTGATTGGTTGGCTTTCGTGTGTTATCAAAGTATAGATACACGGATTACGTCAAAACTAATTGTTTGTTGTATAAAACAGATAGATCTCATTTTTCCGTGCATGTGTACTCTAATAGATTCACAGATGATGTCAAAATGTAGTGAGAACAACAGTCACGCACTCGACTGCGTCTCGTGCATACTTTTTTTGTTCTCACTACATTTTGACGTCATCTGTGTATCTATTAGAGTACACACGCACGGAAAAATGAGATCTATTTGTTAAATAAATAAGTTTTAACTGTGGGAGAAATATATATACAAGACTTAGACTTTACTCCAATGCAGCTCACAAGATTGCCATGTGCTTCATATGTCTAAAGGACTATACCCAAGGTGGCTATAGAGCGAAAGCAGAAAAATGTTGTCCTTTGAATTATCCAAACCTTAATGCACCTACTTGTGAAAACGTTGTCATAGAAAATAGGACATTTGTATTTAGTAACAGCAATGAATTAAAAAAGACAAAACAAGATCACTGAGGCTGATTGCTCTTTTTTGTCTTGTTTTAATTTATTCTTTATTACTAAAATCAAATGTTCTATTTTCTATGAAAACGTTTCTGCAAGTAGGTGTATGTACAATAATATGGAATTTCAAAGAGGACTTCCCCTCCGCTGCCCATTGGTCTGCCACTAATGCAGTGTAGTTTTGCAGTACTTTTTAGAGAAAAAAGCCAATAGCATGAGCTCTGAGTGGATATTCTATTTGTAAAGTGCATTTATTTTATATACCCTAAATATAGCATTATTTTCTCTTTGACAGAAATAATACTCAACACAAGAAGTAAGATCGACATTTCAAACCTCCTTTATGGACATTAATAGATTCTAACAAAAGCAACACTACTTACTTCACCATTAGAAAAAAAATCATGGATGATGACAATGATTATGATGATGACCTTGACCTTGAATCTATGCCATCCATAATGGAAATTTGCTCTTCTTTGGAACAAATCATCCAAAATACAAGAAACCCAAATAGTAAAGAAGAGAGAAATGAAASACATSAAAACAGCAATGATACCAMGGCCATAATGAATGAGAAACCGAAAAATGGTGGCAATATTRGTGTKTCATATARAGAAGCAAAATATGTGGCAAAAAGTGAAGTTCATGAAGTTAAAAGTGGGACATTGTTTAAATATCCCATTGGTGTCCAGGATACCTCTGACAAGAGGTTGGAAAATGTCAGTAAGGARGATTGTAATCTTTCTTCAAGAAATTGTCCAGAWTGGAGTGCTGGTWCACAGYGTAAGGGCACRGCTGGATCTCCAGATATGTTACAAGAAGAAAAGCTAAATGACTGCAAAAATAGTATATCTTTTAGAAAAGAAAAACAAGAGAACCATACGATATATAAGGGAAATCTTGAAGTAAGAAGGCAATATGCGCCTAAAAGAAAGAAACTTCAATTGCTTAATGAATATTATTACAGTCATAACCCAGCTCCTTTTCCTCTTGCTTGTAAAATCTGCCACAAAACAATACTTACCGAAAAGGATATTAATTTGCATTACATAGCACACAGTAAAGAAAGGTATCTTAACTTGTTAAGTCATGGAAAGAACAAGGAAGCCCAACCTATGGAATACAGACCTTTATTCATCTGTCAAATCTGCAACAAGTCGTTTTTAGTCAAGAGTAATCTAGATAGCCATTACCAAAGTCATAGCCTACCAAGGACACTGCAGTGTTCCAGCTGTAATGAATTGTTTTGTAGCACTACAAATGTGAATATTCCAGTTCTCAAAGAAGTGCAACTCTTTCAGTGCTCAATGTGCAAGCAGAGAGAGAATTATTTGGCATCTGAAAAAGAAACATTTGAAAATGGCAATGAAGGTTTTCATCCAGTACACTATAAAGTTAAAGTATTTCAGTGCTCATTCTGCAACCAAGTATTTAACCAGAAAAGTCTGTTGAATGCGCATCAAAAGGCACTGGGGCATAGAGAAACATACCCTTGCGTAATTTGCGGGAAAGTTTTCTTAGGAAAACAAACGTTGCACAATCATTACTCCAGGCACAAATGGCAGAAATGCACACTGTGCAAACGAATGTGTATTACAAAACATGCTCTTGACATTCACTATAAATATTCTCATGGTGACATTCAAAAACCCTAATTATAAGTTACTAAATTTCCTTCACCTAAACATTGTACATGGTTCAAAATCCTTCATACTGGATGGCTATTTTGCACATTGTAGCCCTCACTGCAGAGACCTTATTTGTCAAGTTTTTTTTAACACAGGAAATCCATTATTTTTAGAAAGAAAAGAGATCCCTGTTGAGAAGGATTTGCATAACAATCTTTAATAAAGACAAGGAGAAGTTATTTTTTAYGCATTTACATCATGAGAGAACAGTAACAGACACAGCAGATATATTTTTAAATAATCAACTTGACTGTATGATTGTATGATTACCGTTACTTTAGCTTTATGCAAAACCATATACTCATGATGTATTATATTTATTTATCTTTACTAAAAAAATAAAAATTAAAGTAAAATCCTGATCAAACATAATAAAAACAAGAATACTGAGGAGGTATATGGAGATGGTCACTTTTCCCTACAAAAAATTCTTAGTTACCTAATCGGCTACTGTGTTTTCAACCACATTCAAACCACCTGAGAATAAGTTTCATTGTTCTTTGTATTTTCATTTCACAGTTGAACAACAAACGTTGTTTTCCCACAGGATTTGAATTGAGTGGTAACGTACATAGCAATGAGTTAACCGATTAGGTCTACTGCCTAGCATTTGTTGAGAAAATCTACAATAGCATACAATGATAATAAATAATAATTTTTTGTTGATGTCCAGAAAATATAAAAGATGTTTGCAATAAGCTCAAAGTTCTGTGAGCCCCAAATGAATTTTAGGACCTGCCATTATGATGATCGACTGGTAGAGAATATAGCGTTAAACAGAAACTAGATAGGAAATCCATTGTGTAGTTAACAGTTGTTTAAGAAATGCAATTTTTTGCTTGATGATCCTCCATACCATAAGTTATTCAATGTTTTATGTGCACGTGTTGTGTTCCTGAACAGTCCCTYGCAAACTCCATTTTTCTTGATTGCAGTTTCAATGGGGCAGCTCCACTGATTCATGTCCTTAAAAGTTTCAAAAAAATCCCCAATCTTTGACTTTAGACTTGCTACTGAGCACCACTTTGCAGAGTTCCTCTCTTCAGAGAATCTGATTTCAACAGGAATTTTTGCCCCAAACAGTGGACCTTGCCCATACACCCCATGCGAGCCAAGAAGGGACGTCATGTGKGAGGAAATGGTGGCATCAACCTTTGCAAGGTTTTTGAAGAAAATTGACAGTTCAATGGGATAYTCTTTGGAGATGTACTCAATGGTGTGAGACACATGGAGGACAAAGCCCAGTTGGATCTCTACGCAAACTCTTTCAATGTAGAAGAAAGGTGAGCAAAGAACCTGAAAGTGAACATGTGTRTTAAACTTATATGATTGGCTAAGTTGGTACATATATGAAGAAAGGGTGCAAATATAGCCTCCTACGAACATGCCAGCACGGTCTTTCTGTCTTTTTTCCTGGAAGCCAGAGGAATAGATAACGGGAAAGAAATTGCCAAGTAACACAAAAAGGTCGCGCAGCACTGTTTTTGCTAACATTTATGATACATTTATGACGTAGAAATTTATAAATGTTTATTGAGGTAAAAATTTCAAATGCATGAATGATTACAATAATGATAAAATTTTTAAATGTGCAAGCGGCGCGCCATGTTGTATAGAATTTCTGGGAATTCTTTCTTCACCTGCAAACTTCAAAACTTACCAAGGTTCCTGCATGAACTGTCCCGTACTCAAACTTGGGTTTGGCGTCTCTCAGAAACCTTTCTTCTATCTCCCTCATTGATATGATCTTGTTGAGAACCCTGAACTTGTGCTTGTCCACATTTAGCARCAGGGCAATATGAATTTCCCAATTTTCTAAATTGGTCCCACTTGAATTGCGATGAACTTTAACTTCATGCTCTAGTTCACTGTTGATATCCAATCCCATTATTTTATGTTGGAAGACTTGCGAGGTCTGTTTCGAATGTTCTTTGATTGTTGCCGCAGAAACAATATCCCAAATTGGCTCCAAATCGCGACTGGTGTAATACGGTGTTTCGCCATGATCAAATAAGCGCCGTTTGTCTCTGTGAGTTTTGACATCTCGGCGCTTTCGTTCTACCGTCGATTCCAACGATCTCTTTTTACGGGAATCTGAGTTATCCCATTTCCAATGAATGAATGGAAAATCTGATGAGAATGAAAACGAAGGGATGAGATGAGAGATTTTGAAACCTCCGTCTGGAGCATTTTCCTTTTGTTCATTTTGGCTACTGTCGTCATCTCTCCAKAGYTGATCAAAWATSCGATCRAACAGGCTTTTYTCCTCGGGYTGTGGGGCAGKAGTTACAGTAGGTTTGCCAATGTCAATATTTTTCTTTGTSGTTTTACTAATTCCATTGTTTTCGTTCAAGGTTTTGCCAGTTTCGTCCTTTTKGTCTTTRGGRATTTTGCTTGTTTCAGGASTGTCTTTTTTASTGGTTTTCTGRGKCTTTTTCCCCTTATRATGAGTSTTAMGTTTCTTTTTATCTTTCCTCGCCATTAGCTTTTTTCCTTCYTTATAAAGTGCTGCACTAATACGTTTCTCGGCTTTACTATRYTGTGAACTTTTGGGCCGCTTTATATCTTTGGTATGCAAGCCACCGCTCTCCTCATTGCTCATTTTTTTAACTTGCCTAGTTTGACCTGTGGTTTTGAAATCCTTTACTTTTTGCGCATCTTTGGCTGAATCTTTGGCTTCTACCAATTCTTCACCAGTTTCTTTTGAATCGTCATTATCATCATCATCATCTAGGTCGTCATCTGGAAACATGGGGACAGGCTGASCAAATCTGAATTGTCTCATCCTATCATATCCATTATCATCTTGACTGGCATCATAATCATTATCATCTGATGGAGGTTCGTTATCGATGTTATAATCATCATCATCATCATCGTTATTCTCATCCAACTGCCSGTGTTGTTCAGTTGTTGTCGGAACTGGTGTTGTACTCGAAATTTTGTGCCTATCAGGAAATCGTTCTTTTCTGTTGTTCACTAGTTCTTCAAATTGCGTTTCAATACCCGGTTGGGTGATCTTATGGAAACTCCTGGCAAATGCTTCCATATCTTTATTTCTTATAGACTTTTTTGAACCAAGTTTGTGTGGCATAGTCATGTTAAGCATTTCTTTGATGGTTTCCACCACATTATGATTCTCATGGTATTTCTTGACGGAAGGACCATAATATTTCAGACCATCCTTTGAAGKCGTTGCAAGTTCGGAGATRTCACTAAACGTGTACTCATGCTTGGTGATGTCTGGTTTGTTAYTCTGTTYRTCCACYAAGCGTAGAGAGCTTTTAAACCGCATGGAAAGTTCTGCTTGGGATGMCGTTTCTCCCTCTTCACCAGAAATTGGAAGCTTTGCAGACAATTCCATGTCGCTCTTTTTGATCATCCCAGTGATTTTACTAAYTGAAGTGTYTTCTTCAAAGTTAAACGATGTGTGAGGCAATTGTTTGTTTGAATTACTTGCAAATGAAGAGAATCCTTCAGGCTCGATTCTCGAAGTGATTAAAATATCATCTTTCCCCATGCGAATATTTTGCTTCATTGTCGCATCTCCTTGGAAGAACTTGGAATTTTCCAAAAGAACCTCGTGTTTTCGCGTTGTAATCTGGCTCAAAATCATCTCAAAAAGATCGATTTTTACAACGGGAAAGAGTTGAGTCAGCAGATTCAAAACATAGTAATCAAGTGTGTTGTTCTTTTTCCATGGTGTTAAAACTTTCAGACGTTTTTCGTCATCAATGTCCACGGATTCCGGTCCGCCAAGATTAACACTTACCAAGAATGCATATGGTCCATCGTGCAACTGTGGTAATGTCTTAAGAGAGACTTTCATCCAACATCGATTCTGTGTTTTGTTAACAATTTGAACGAAAACATCCTCAGTAAATTTTGTATGAACGGTTTTGAGCCCTTCGAAGGTGTGTTCCTGAKTAAGTCGATAGTGTAACACTTGTCCTTGAGAAAGATTCAACTCAAATGAAAATGTCTTTGCTTTCAGAAGAAAATATGTCACCAATATTGCCCCACCAAGGAGAATAAGAAATGACATTGCACAAAACACTTTTCGCTTGCGTGAATATTTGCTCCTCCGGATTGGGAACTGCACTTTCGATTTTGGGACGTTTTCACCGTCCTTTTCTCCACTTGTATCCTCCACAATTTCCATCACTGGACCACTCAAATCYTCGTCCGCCGTCTCGAACATCGCTTCGGCGAGTAAGCGCTCTTCTTCCGGGTCCAAAACAACCATTTTTGTTGCAGTTTTTAAGTTCAGTTGACTGTGTTTTGTGATGACTTTGATCGATTTTAATTAATAATTCATCGCTCGTGTCTTTTTGCTGGTGTGCTTGGTATTAACCAATCACAATCGAGAATGATCAAACGTCAAAGTCTGTTTTCGCCGAGACAAAATATAGTAAATTAGAAAACTTTTGAAAGGTTGATGACATACAACTTTAACAGAAGATGAAATATAGAAGAAAATCTGGAAATTCCAAATTTGCTTAGCTGAAAAAGGATTTCAACCAGCCAGTTGAGGAATGATGAATCGAAAAATGAATGGTCCTAGACGATTATCATTTAAAGTWAGAATAGACTCTGGGAGGGACGTTTGAGCAAAATCAGATAAMCAACAACCCTTTGGATYACCCTGCAGGAATTGGTTAAAATTTGAACTGGGAACAAAGACATGTAGATTRTTAGTAGTGCKTAATCTTATCGACAGCTATTCCTCTGARTATGCMAGGGRWYCCYKGGGTATAGAATGGRAATTTGCACTTAAATGGACTGAGAAAACGGGGATCTCATTCACTGCAATTACTATTTACTTTACAAAAAGTGGATAAAAAGAACTTCAATCTTAGCAAATATATTAAAATCTATAAGTTTCACTATGATTCGCAAAGAAATATTTCTAAGTTCAAATTTGAAGCCGACAACTTACAGTAGCTTGACTTTCAGACGGTCCACGGTTTGATGATAACCCTCCCTTACACCCATCTGAAACTCAGGCTACTTTTGAAAAGAGAGTAGTAATGAGAGATATATAACTAAGACTTTTGTAAATGACATCCACCCATAACTAGTAGAAGCTGATGTTGGCCATATCCTGTTTTATTTGACAGCAGATTCTATTACGCAAAGACACTTCCAAACACAAAAGAAAGCACAAAACTGCTGTCAGTAAGCAATTTCTACGATTTGAGGCCAACTATGTATTAGCCTGCGTGGCGGCTCTAGTTTTCTCCCTCCCCCCTCCCCTAGAGCCGCCACGCAGTCTAACTATGTATTCCCTGTTGAAACATTAGGTCTTATGGACATACAGAGTTACTCTCAACTAAGGAAAAACACAAAGTTTCAAGCCTATTGTAATAGCTACACTTCTCGTGCTCTCTTTTGGATTTGGTGAGGTCTTTGYGCAAGAGTCTGTTGTCACATAAAGCAGCRGGGGTTTTTTCKCTTTGAATTCGAAAATGGAGTATAAAGGAAGGATTGCAGTGTGTTTATTGGTAGAATAACGCACGCGGGGATATTGGAAGAACACGAAAAAGGACTAAAAAATCACCAGCACAGCGAGTGCATTTACCGGCATAATAGACCACGCTCTTGGACCAATCAGCGCGTTCGTACTATTACATCAATAATGTAAATGATAAAAAGTTGTTATGCGAATGCAATTTGATATGAGAAGCAGCTTAGGTATTAGGATGAAGTTAGCAGGCTAGAGTGCGTACAAGAAAATCTTGTCTATTGATCTGCTAGGCAAAAGAGCAATGTACAGATAGAAGTGGAAGAAAACAGAAAGTCAGAGTCCTGTCATTAATTTTAGCAATGCACATGACKGTAATGTATAACAATATCAACAAAGAGATATTTACACCAAAACGTTTATTAGTTTTTTGAGATTGATAGATTAAGATGACGCTGCCTTCTTGCCTTGTTGTGCTTTGAGAACTCTCACTACAATCTTCTGTTCCTCGATCAAGAAAGCACGTACAATTCTGTTGACAGAGAAAGTGCACTTATAAGAACACTCTTACAGTGGTTTCCAGTAACCTTTGAAATACATTTTAGAGAAGAGCCAACGCACTAGAGGCAGATATACATGATGCAACTGTTGTGTGCAAGTTGTACATGTAGGTGCATCTAAACAGCGCACATGACAATCATACTGTGTAAATCAGCAGTTAGCCTTTTCATTACAACTTAAACATATCAAAACCTTTGCTTCTTATGGTAATTTTAGTTTTACGGGTTAAGTGTGTCAGCTCTAATGCACATTAGAGATATGTCTTTTGAGTAATGGAAGACATGAAAATTGTCTTCTTCACAGTTCCTATGTCTCGAAACATAACAGTGCCTTTGCATTGAAGCAAGCCAGCCATTTGCCATGCATTGATAAAAACCTTTCTTCACATCCACAGAAAATTATTTACAGGTTTCTATTATTGCACATGCAATGGTCATCTCACTTTGATGCAAAGGCACAGCTACCTTTCAAGATTTTACAGGAAACCATACACTATTCTTTTGACCACAAAATCATTGCTGAATTTACACAAACATCACAAACACACTTACCTTTGCCGGACACAGTTAGCACATCGTGATCCACCATAAGCTCTAGAAACATTTTTCTGACGTTTAGAGATTTTGTGCAATTGTTTTGGTCGAAGAGCTGGGAGCTGCAAGAAATAAAACCAATGTTACGATGACAAATTTGAATACTGACCTAGACAGTGTCTTTTATACTGATTCTTACCCCCTGGAGCCTTGTTTTGCAGTCTCCACATTTAGGGACTTTACCATTCTTTTTGGTGTAGAGGTAGACAAGTCGACCACCTTAGAAATAATAATTATTATCATAAGAATATAATCAATAATAGGTTATACTGAAGTTTGCCCTGTTAATACTGTACATTTATGCCATGCTAAGACCCATTTCATATACAGCAAAAAACATTGTCGGGGAGAACGGCGAATGGCGATTGTTGAAGAGAAATTGCATGACCGAAATGGACTATGGTTACCCTGTTTTGATAAACATTTAATTTCACTTATTGGATTCACCTTGCATAGAAATGGAGACTAAATGAAGCTATTGTTTACCACAGACTATCTTACAGTACAAATCAGTTGTTATTGCCTTTCAACTACCAAAACCCATGACTACTTTCGGTCGTGCAATAGCCGTTCGACCATTGACATTTGCCATTTTATCCGACAACCTTTTTTGAAATAGCTATATCAACCTAATGATAAGTGTAACTTAAGTGCTTGCATGCAGTTCATGAGAACTTTATGTCATCAATCAACATTTATGGATTATAATATGTTTGTCCAACTGAATAAAATCTATCAAAGTCAGTAAATTCAGACTATGCTTCCACGTCTGCACTAATAATTTCAAATGAAAAAATTTTGCATAACAAAACTTTTCCACCACAGTTTAGCCTTTGATATCAAACTGGCTAAATTTGACAAGCTACAGGGGGAAATCTGTTGCAGCAGTGTGTGAACTGGCCTTTAGATAACATTGACAAAAGATTAATTTCTGAACTGGTGTTAACATTGCAGCAAACCAAAGACCTAACATTCATCACATAARCGATGCAAGGTTTGAATATATGAAGTTTGGTAAAAAAAAAGAATTGTTTCAGCAGGAATCTACATCAAGGTAGTATCTTGATCAATGCTAAAAAATACCATTCATATTATACAGTATTTTTTTATATACATTATTATTATGCGATGTTATCGTGCATATAAAAYAATAACAAAAAGTAAGCTTTATGTGAGAAACTTGGGTTTTAATAATTGTTTTCTATTTATCGAACAAGGTCATGTCCTAAAATTTTGTCCATACCTGGCGTCTTCGAGCTGCATAATTCATATTAAATGATGCCATATGAAAGAAAAYAAATTATTACATAAGCAAGATGATTAACGGATGCCATCAAGTTATTTTGCGAAGAAGAAATCTTGATAATAATTGGGAAGAAGCAAAACTTATGCTTACATTCGTCTCCCGTTGGACTTAGTGTTGTAAGACAGACGCCTCCTAAAAGTCAATCGCAAAGCCATCTGAAGAAAAAACGACACAGGCGTGTAAATAAACTATCCTAGAATACAATTCCTTCAAAATCATAATGATATTGTGAGCGATGGAAGAGGATTTCTCAAGATTATAAGTCATGTTTTAATCCARACCTTTTCGACTTTGAGAGAAGGGAAAGAGAYCGATASAGGGATCGAAATGCATTATGGRACCCTGTGTGAGCCTGCGGTACTTACGGACAAAGCACGTGCAAAGTTTGTTTTTTCGCGAACTTTTGAAATTGTACATTATTTCTCGCGAATTTTGCTTTAAAATCATGGGGWCAAAGTGCTTTTATGATGAGYAGCTATGAAATCAAACTTATACTTGRTRATTAGCAAAATCAMAAACGTTTTSTGTGCGAAATCGACGTATARAGTTGAGGATATTTTTTAGAGTGAAATCTATCAACTGAAAAATTGCCGGAAAATTTGAAGCAAGTCCTTCGTCGTTTCTGAGAATAATCGCTTTTGCAGCGAAGAATAAACGAGTGAAGAAACTCTGGTGAGTAAAGAGATGGATGAAGCTGTTCAAGACGTTCAAGACATAGCAAAAGATATTGAAAAACAAACAATTACCAAACAGCAGTTTTCTTGTGAAAAAATGGACATCAATAAGCAYGARGAGAYAAATTTGCAAAATACTGAAGAACTGAAGCTTCAGCTCGAAGAAATWCCAGAAGAAAATACTTCAAAGAGTAGCAATGATGTTAATACAGTTAATTCAGWCGTTCGRGATATTCTCTTTGGAGTTYTAGACAAGGTTTCTGCAGCTACCGTAGAAAATGTACAYATAGAACCCTTACWAAATGGGAATGGTGTTGTTGMCGATKTAAATACTACCAGSGACTTAAATTTAMCCGAAGTTAATGGAGATATTTCCAAAAATGATTTTCCAAAAAATGKTGTCAAGAGATCCTGTGAAGATGCTGTACTTGATGGTGTTGTGATGCCAGCRAACAGTGACAGTTCTTATGTTATGAATCTTGTCCAGGAAGAACTGGATGCCGTAGAAAAGCAGCTTGATACMAAGAAGGGTATCAAAATYGTTGACTATGATAGTGATTCATCTGAATCCAGCTCAAGGTGATTATAATATATTTTAATAAAACAGCGAGTGCATGAAATATGCATGGTATGTTAATGGAGTGTGAAAATCCCATAGTGGGAAACTAATCTGGCAAGAATGGTCATAGCAAGAATTGCAAGTTTCATCTTTTCAAAAATWAATRTWCTCATGTAYKGACCAAAACACCTGTTATATGATCGAAAAAATAAGTACATTAGAGACAACTGTTTATAGTGTTTAATTCGTGTTATACCCCCTAATTTCTAGTGATGGAGAAACTTCAGACAGCTCATCRTCAGACTCTGAGAGTAGCACTAGCAGCGACAGTTCTGTAGATRAAAGGTAACTTTGGTTTATTTTTAAAGCATTTTTATAAAAAAAATATCGTAGGTTATCTAGCTTTATGATTGATAACAAAGACTACAAAATTGAGAGAACTACACCTTTCAAATAAAAGACAATTCAGTATTTCTCTTGAATTATTGGTAATTTGCCACTGGGTTTCCAAAAGATACAAGCTGCTTTATATTTTTTCATTTTTTATATATATWTTTTTTTACAGCAAAAATGTCATYYGTATGAACTCTGGTATAAGCAAAATAATAAATTCTTAATAATTGTTAAATATTTTGTAAATCGTATGTAGCTAGATATTGTATGTTATCTAGAATCATAATTGATAAAGTGGATGTTGAAGATGAGAAGCTAAATGTTGGTGCTCCCAARACAAAGGATGAAATCCTGCTAAATGTAAGTGAGCAACACATAAATCTACCTTTCTTCAGGGGTGTCAGTAATAGTTGGTGACCAACGGTATAAGACCTACCTATTTTACCTCTTAGAGCTGGTTATTTTGTGTATTAATTGTTAAATATKATTGAATATTGTCTTGGACACCAATGCCTACTTCAATCACTCAGATTCGTATAGAAAAAGATAATGAAATCCCTGTTAATTATAATAAACTAAAAGGAACTTGCACATTTGATACATTCCTTGCAACAGTGCTTATTCAAAGGGCAATGATCAACTGCCATCCCTTGCAACCTTTTCTTTATTTCAGAAGATAAAATTATTACTATAATATGCAGGAACTTCCTCCAGAACCATTAGTAGAGCTTGTGCTTACAGATGATGTGAGTCTGGTGAACATTGGTGCCATAACAAGTATTGTAGAATCCATAGGTCTGTATTATTATTCTAATGACAGATGATTTACAGTGGCTGTAACATGACCTTGCACAGCCATGTAGTTGTAGTATCTTTTACAATGATTTGTTTTCATATTGTAGCACACTTTTGGTGATTTTCCTGTCCAAATCCTGTTATCATGATTATGAGTGAGACATAAGTTTGTTACAAGTTACCAAGTGTTGTATTTTTAATATTTTCGACCTTTCTACTACTGCACAATTATAGTATTCATGGTAAAGTGCATTCACCATTTAAAATAACGAGTGTTTAATTGTATTTAATGCAGTTATCATCAGAGCTTTGCCAAAAACACCTGCTGTTGATGCTGACACCCTCCTCTTCCTGGAAAACAGAAAATGTCTKGGAAAAGTAAGTCAAACTTAAACAGTGTTGCACAAGAAGTTTGATTTTTTTTAATTGTTTCTGATATTTACAATCATTCAGGTGTTTGAAACATTTGGTCCAGTTCAAAGTCCATTTTATTCTGTGAGGTTTGACTCGCCTGAGAGCATCACAAAAGCAGATATCAAGACTGGCATGATGGTGTTCTTTGCGCCTGATGATTTRGAYATGACAAAACTTATCTTCACTTCCCAAATAGAAAAGTAATGTTTATTTGTTTCTTTGCAAGCCTTGAATTCTTGCTTTAAGCCTACAAGCCTATTGTTTTAGAAGTCAGTGCAAGGGCTTAATTCCCATGATATATTTATTTTTTTCCTCCCAAATTTTCTCTGTAGGGGGGAGGGGTGGGAAACGGATGTACACAGGCAACAATTTCTAGGTCCTAGGTGTGAGCTTCAAACTGTTTTTATTTTTTTTATACAAAGAAGTCAATTTATTTAGACTCCTTCTGAGCCCCTTCAAAATTCAAGTTCGATTCTGGGCTTTACAAGACTCAACTTTTCACAGGAACCATGCAATTATATATCCTCTATTTGTGTTCATCTAATGTGAAAGGTTTTTCTTGTTTTCCCCTMTTCTCTCATTATTATATAGTACAATACATTAACCTCTAATATGTATGTTGATAGATTAAAAGGATCAGATGCCTCATGGAAACATGACCAAGAGCCACCAGTTGAGGTTTGTATATTATACACACCTCATCCCAGGGGCAGATGCAGGACTTTCTTTTGGAAAATTAAGGCACAAAATATTATAGGGTTTCAAGAGGAAGTATAGCCTCCTCTGCAGACATCATGCTTTTCCAGTTTTTATATATGTTGGGTTCCCTGTGGAAAAATTAGGGAAGAGAGGAGACCGTGGGAGGGAAAAGACAAACTGACTTTTGTCCATTATCTTGTCTTTCATTTTTCCCACCTCTTACTGATCTAACACAGGAAGCCCACTTTTTTTAGAGAAGAGATGGATGGGGAGGAGGCTTATGAGGAGGGTGCTTGATAAAATAGTWTCATTACTGTTCTATGAAAGCTATTAATGAATTGTTGGTCAGCTCCAAGAGGGATTGCTTGGTCTGTAGAACAGACAGTAAACAAACCCCTTCCCCACTTCACACCTCGCTTGACCTGCATAACAATTAAATCAATTAGGACTATCATAATTGTTTTTTAATTGCAGTTGATTGAGTACTCTGATGATGAAGAGGAAGCAGTTGCTAAAGCTAAAAAGAAGCAGGCAAGGTTAGGAGAAAGTATTTAAAATAATTATTAACAATTGACCTGAAAGTGTCCTTCCAGAGGAGGCCTTCTTCCATCTTTTTCTTAATCCCAATGGCTAGAATGAGAGCTTTGTTTTCAGATAGATTGAAAAAAGAACAAGTGCTAAAAAGGAGAAGAAGAGAACATTTGATGTTCTTTTGTTCTCATCTTTAGCACTTGTTATTTTTTTTAACAGTACACAATTTTTACCACTGACTTTCATTGTATATATCTTCCTCCGCTGTTATCATGACTATACCTTGCTCCTATTGGTCTACTTTTTTGTTCTCCTTTCATTTTATAAACTCACACTTAACCCAGTTTCATTACTTTACTCCTTTACTCCATCTGAAGTGTCAGTAAGTTATTTAACCTAATTTTGATGGTGTTAAAATTATCTTATTTCACACTAACCTTCTTTAGATCATTGATTGTCTTGTACCTAAATAATGAATTGCAATACTCCAGTTTTGAATTGATAGCGAAAAACCGCTGCTTTATTTGACTACAGATTCTCTTGCGCRAAGACCTGACCAAACACAAAAGRGAGCACGAGAAAATKTCGTTWTTACAATAGCCTTRAAAATTTGCATTTTCCCTGAGTTGAGACTAACCCTGTATTCCCATAAGACTTAAGRTATGGGCCTTCCGGGAATACAGGGTTAGCCTCAACTTGGGGAAAATGTAAATTGTCAGYGTTATTCGAAAATGGAGTATTGTGGTAGAAATTTCTGAAAAAGAAGACGTCATTGTAATTTCTTGTTCTGGTCTTTTGCAGGAAGGCAAATAAACAGGGGCAGAATGGAGACCAACCTGCTGCTTTTTGCCAACAGACGGACAATGCACAACAACAAAGAGGTGAGACACACGATATTTTAAATTTGTTGCATAATATTTGCCATAGTTTGATGCCCTGCTCTTCAACTCACTCAATGTATCACCTGGCTTAAACTTAATTTTATTATCAAGATTCATTATGATAATCTATTGATCTTATAAATAATAGATATCAATTTGAAAAGTTAATATTAGTGATTGCATTGTTTTGTTACACAGAATTTCAGCGAAGTTATAAAGGAAGAGGACGGGGTAGAAATGCCAGCAGAAACCAAGTCAGACCCCCACCTCTAGGAATATCACTACCCCCTCACCCAAGGCTTACYCTACCCCCTTGCTTTGGAGAAACCCTACCAGAGGCAAATCTCAACCACCCAATGATGTCACCACCAAACTCACTTCCATCTGGAATAAATTTCCCACCCCCTCCCCCAAGGGGGGCACCATCTCCAGTGTTACCAAGACCCTTCCCTCCCCCGAATATGCCACCTCCTCATCCTGKGCAGTTTCTCCCACCCCCATTCCAGTCACCACCACCACCATATAACCCCTATAGACATCCCCCTCCTCCTCCTGCAATGCCTCCTGGTCCTGGTGTACCTCCTCCTTGGCCACCTTTCAACTTTGGTCCCCCAAGATGATAGACGATTGATACACAAGTATTTTAGGAAACTTCAATAATAATGTAGCTAGTCATGAAAAATAATATCCTAGAGAACTCAAGCGTAATCTTCTGTCGTTTCTTCCTCACTGCCAGAAACGTGAGGAACAAAGAACGCAAGATAACGTCTGCGTTCCAAAGTATATATTGAAGAATTCTCAGACTGTGTTGAAACCAAGTTTAATTTTCACGTTTGAAATAAAATGTTTATCATTTGTTATGTACATGGAGTGAGCTTTTCTTTTCTTACTAATATATAGGTGTTAAATATCACAATAAAAGAATGGGTTGTAAATTTGGAGCGATTTTCCTTATTGCTTAGACTTATGCATTCAGACTAGAATAATTTTCAGACATTCACGAAAGGAACTCAGCTTTTTTCCAACAGAAAAACTTTTATGATACAATTAAATACTGGGGGTCACCAGTTGTACGGTTGATMAATCCATCMAATCCATTGATTTTGTATGRATTTTAACCACTGAATAAGGATTTCTTCAACCAGTAGATAGACTTTTTCATCTTTAATACAATCAGMCCCAGAAATTCACAAATSCTTGAATCTGTTCATCTTCTTCAAAGGTTCATATTTTTCGCATGTTTTGTCCTTTTATATTTTGCTTTATTCTGTTGCTTCTAACATTCAACTAGTATCTTTAGTTGGTGATATTCCTTTTCCATGGKCATGCTAATTTAGTATTGAGTGCAGAACAACTTCAAAACAAAGTTTCCTGATCCAAAGTTTGACCCAAACTCAAGKTCCAGAACAGTCATCTTGTTCAACTGTTTCATCTTCTGTATAATCATTTCTATTCCAGCTTTCCAAACTTCTTGATGGTGATTTCTTTCACCCATTCACATCTTTATTCCATTTCATTCCATTAACCAATTGTCCATTCTTGACAAGCAGTCACAAACCATCCATTGAAGACTGTTATTCTCTTCACAAAACCCCACTGAAAATCTTACTGAAAATTCCTTTTGGTCTAACTCATATTTCAATCCCTTTTCGGTTCCATTGTAATAGTTTTTTATATGCAGGTTTGAAGACCACTGAAGTCCTTAAGTTTTTTTAAAATGTTTTGTACRAATATCATTTTGAAAGTACATAAATATCATTAAGCCCAATTAGGGGTTGATGAAACTGTCTGTCCTCTCCCCTCTAGAAGTTTTTCACCAAAGTGATAGGCTGCGGCAAGAGATCCTCCTATAGCTCCTGCTATTGCTATTGGTCGTATGCCAGCTGAAATGAAAAAAATCACATAATCAATTCAGTATTTTAAGGAGGTTAAGTATTTAGGATAAACATTTATTTATTTCCAAAGCAAATTGAGGCTAGAGTGCTCAAGCTTAAGAATCATAACCACCCGCCGTACCTTGCGAGCCGAAGCGCCATTTTAGGTGGACACGAAAATGGCGGATTTGTAGGATTTCTTAAAGTGAGCGCAAATCGTCTTCCGTCCTTTCAGTTTGGACAGAAATACCTTTAAGTACCTCACAGTTACTATCAATCTATAATTTATTGTATGCTTGACGCATTTAAACGTATGAAAACAATAATACGAGCTCGCAAGGTACGACGGGTGGTTATGATTCTTTAAAACTGTCACAATACAAGAGTATCTTTTAGTGTTAAGCCTAACGCTGCATCATCATCATTTAGTGTTGATATAATGACAATATAGCAATGTAAACATGGAAATAGCCAACTTTAAAGGGACACTGTCAATGGATGACATGCGCAGTAACAGTCTCACCTCTAACGAACTTTGAAAGTATTACCTTCGAGGTAAATCATTTTTAGGTGCCTTTGCCACACTTTGGAATATTCTAGATGTGTTTACGTTTACAAGCTGATTTATGTCGCGCCAACTTGGAGTCATAAACTTGAAACAAGTTTACTCGCGCATGCGTGCCATTGACAGTGTCCCTTTAAGATATCTTGGTTCAGTGACCATGCACAAAATTGCAGACAAGGCTCCAGGGAAATATAAGAATTAATAAAGATCATCCTGTGTTTTCCCGGAGCCTCGTGTGCGTTCTTTTGTACATAATCATTGAAACAAAATATCTAAAGTTGACTATTCCCCTATCTTTTTTTCTCTCTCTCTCTCTTTTTGTTGTTATTGTTCAATGTTGTTGTTATAAATGTTGCTCTTTTTAATTTGTTTTTTTGTTTATTTGTTTGTTTGTTTGTTATGTTTTTTTCTCATCCTCTCATCTAGCCTCATCCCTTCTTTTCATTTTTCCATTTTCCTGTTGTTTGTTTTTTTCCATGTCATGCATCATCCAATCAGAGCTTAAAATTCTTAGTATACTGGACCCAAATACATAAATAAGTTCTAATAATATTACAGTACCTGTAGACTTGAATATCATGCCTGCTCCWGCTGCAGCYGCTATGGAATTGAAYTGATCTTCTTCACCGCGTACCTTTTCAACRAGACTATCTAAGCTACAGTACATTAAAGCCAGAATACCAAGACTGTTTGCTAGGAAAGGACCTCTTCTTGTGCAACCATTTAGAACACTAATAAAAAAATAAAAACATACAGTATTTTGAGACATTGCTTTTATCAAGCTTATTTCACAGGTATGTTTTATAATTATTATCAAAATTGTAAAATTATTGTACTGTCTAATAACAACAAAAAAGGATCACATAATTATAATAATCCTCAATTCAAAAGAGTATTATCAAATTCATTAATAATCTATAAGGTTAATAATGGAAAATCATTGCAGTGACCACATCTTGCTTGCAGCTCGCAGTTTTACATGCCCATAAAGGTCTTCTGCTCATATTTCATATATTACATAGACCTCTTTGCAATTCATGGGAATGCAGCTCCAAATGGAGAGAAAAAACAAGGGACTCCAATCTCAATGAGGCCAAAAATCTTTTGTTTTGAACTCCAGATGAAGCTGCTTTGAAGTCACATGGTAGGTGCCTATTGCATGCTACTCATAAGCATTCTCCCAAAAGCCACACTTAAAATATTTTCCTAAAAGCATCATGGACTTGATATTCTCACACCTTTTTTTTTATTTAATTACTTAGTTTATTTTGTGTATTTATTTTTTGTTAATTTTGTTGTTTAGTATACAGTGGCTATCTATTATAACATTTTGAAGAGCAAACCTGTTTAATCGTAGTTTAAATGTTTTTCCATCAGGGTTTCTCAGTCCTTCATAAAGACCAAATGCGCCTCCAGTACCTAAACCTGCCAAAACATTTAAAATCAGGATATAACTTAACACATGGATTGCAATAGAGAAATATTACAGGTTTTTTCCTCTATTTGCAACCGTCTTCCAAGTGCCCTTTCAATTAGAGATTCAAAAAGTAACAATTTCATTGTCGCACTAAACACGAAAATGCCAGTGGTTGCGTGGCTTACCTAATAAATATGATGTCCCTATACCACTAAACATTCTTTCATTCCACTGTCTTCTCTTTTTACTGTCAGTAGGAAAAACAAACTCTGCTCCACCCTAAAAACAAGAAAAAGAAAATGTAATACAACAAAACTACCTCTTTCATACAAATTGTTTTCATGCATACTATTTTCAAGTGAGTTTTAATCGTCATTAAAATAATGGTGAATATGATTAATTGTTTATATACCTGGTTCAGATATGATGGATCAATGTTCAARTACGGTGACATGGCCTGTGATCTAGCACCACCTTGAAAAAACAAAACAGTCAGTTAACAAACAGTTATTAGGGAGCTTTAGATTTGAGAACGAAGACGAGGACGAGGACGAAGTTGGTGAGCGCGCACAACTTTGATGTGGTCAGCTTGCTCGCGCATATTCAAAAGAAATTCCTAATTCGCTCTGAAAAACTAATTTGACATGGTTTAGTTTATGCCAATCTTAGCACAAATTAAGGATATTTCCGCACATTTATTGCTCAAAGTAAAACAAGGGATGACCAAAGTCGATGTTCGTGCATTTTCTTCATATTTTCAGTGCAAAATAAGTCTAAGAAAAGCTGATAAAAACTTTGTTTTGGACAGAACGAAGTTTGGTAAAAACTTCGTCGTCCTCAGCAAGGAGACAAGGAAGTTGCATGACATTTCATGAGCTGTCGTAATCTGTAATGGCGAATTTTCGAAACTTCGTCATCGTCCTCGTCTTCGTTCTCAAATCTAAAGCTCCCTAATAAGAGTATTGTTCATAGTCAAATCCTATATTCAGAATGAGGCTTCGATCATGATAGGTCCCATTTCAACAATAATGTTTGTAACACTTCCAACTCAAAAATATATCAATATTTTGCRAATATAGATCCTATTTACATTTCCCATCTCATTTTTATAATCTTTTTAAAATCTTTCCAGTGAAAGTGAAAGTGAATTAATTAATGAAAACCAATTGTTGATTATCAATAGTTATTTCATGAAATTAGTTGATTAATATTGATAAATGATGATTAATTGACAGTACTATTGCTTGATATCAATTACTTTCTAGTCTCACTAGAACTTCATCCACCATATTTCACATAATATCATTATAGACTTTAGCCTTATCACGCAAGATTACATAAGGTATTGATGCATGTTGGACATC